GGCTCAGGCCGCGGGGCTTGGGCACTGGCCGCGGGGCCTGGGCCTTCTTGCACCAGATGGCAAAGCCTCCCATGTCCCTGAAGGAGAGCAGAGGGGACCCTGGGCCCTGTGCCGGGGAGTTGGGGGCCCCATTGTCTGCAGCAGGGGTGGGCGGCCGGAGGGGAGCGAGGCCGGGCGTCCCTACCCCACTCGCAGGTACCCGGGCACCGTCTTGGTCTTCCCACTGAGCCGGACGTCAAACACAGCAGTGTCGGCTGCACCCAGGGGCACCAGCTTCACACATAAGCGCTTCTTCTTGGACACAGAGGCCTCTGGAGTGGGCAGGCAGTGAGACAGGGGAGCAGGGCGGGGTGGGGGCCCCACAGGCGGCTGCAGGTAAAGCTGCCCAGACTGCCGAAGGCAGCCACCAGCCACGGGAAGGCACAGGGAGGCAGCCCCGCAGGAGGGGCTGCACCAGGCCTCTGGGGGCACTGGGAGAGCTGATCTCGGGAGCAGGAGGAAGGGCCCCTGTGGGGCGGTGTGGGCTCCTGCCTGGCCCTCCCAACCCACTTCCCTAGTTCTCTAATCCAGCGGCCACAAGCTACTGCTCTAGAGCCACATCCAGCCCGTCTGTGCGGCCAGGGAGTGAATAACGGTATGTACAATTTGTAAAGAGCTTCAAAAGCTGGGCATCCAAGTGCACACCGGTAACTCCAGCACACTGGGAGGCCTGGGCAGGAGGACAAAAGTGGGAGCCCAGTCTAGGAAACTGAGTGACCTTGTCTTTAAAAATACTAAGGACTAGGGGTACAGCTTGGGGTGAAGGTCCTGGAGTCAAGCCCCCATACTGAAAAAAAATGTTGTAAAGAAAGACATTATGCTGGCTGGGGGTGGTGGCGAGTTCGAGGCCAGCCTGGAATACATAGTGAGACCCGATCTCAAACAACAACAACAAAAACGAAGATAATAATATGCTACAGACATCACCTGACCTGCAAAATCAAAAACGGACGGTCTGGCCCATTATGTAAAGTCCGACAACTCCGGCATCAGTGAAAAACACCAGAACCAAACGCAAATGACAAGAAGTGGTGGGAAGCTTCAGGCCAAGCCGGGAAGCCACCCGGGCTGTGGGATCACAGAAGCGAAGGCAGGCAGGGAAGCTGAAGCCAAAGCTAAGGACGGGTCCGGGCAGAGGCGGCGGCGGCGGCCAGGC